ACCCCCAAGGAACCATTAATCCAGTTACCGTCGCTATAGATTTACCTATCCTGGATTTCCTATACAGAAAAACATTCAAAAGGGAACAAACAAATAAAAACTAGCAAGAGTAGTAAAGTAAAATGGATACAAACCAACCGTTATTGAAAAGAAAGCAGGCCATATTAAAACTAGAACAAATGTACAAGGATTCTAAGGGAAATAAATGACAGGGTGCTCGGGCTGAGCCTGACGCAGGGCCTCTCTGGCATTGCAGTCTGCGTGACAGCAAGGCTGTTCACATCCCTGGTCCGTGGTCAGAGGGTTCACCGAGAGCGTGGCCCATGTCTATCCCCTCTGCGCTTTCTACAAACGGAAACAGCTTTGACATGTAACCTGCTCTCTTCTCTCTCTTCCTCGATGGAACTCTGCAGGTGTCTGATTGAGCGGGGCGATGTGGTCTTTGTGAAGGATCAGACGGTCATGCAGAACACTGGCGGTAGGTGCACCCGCGTCTCTCTCCCTGTATGCTTTCGGCAGTGGTATTCAGGGCTGGTTTCATGAAAGTATTGTGAATTCTGCCAGGCCTCAAAGCCCAATGCTCAATCTACTTGACTTGGTGGAACATTCACCAAGAAACATTCACCTGCCTGGGCAGAGTGGAGAGGTCCCTGGGGTTCAGAGCACCCCTGAGTTCTCACCCATAGGAGCTCCCCAAACCACAGCAGCCCCCCCGACCAGCCGCCCCCCTTTAACACGTCCATGCATATTTCCCAAGATCAGGAACATCCTCTTATAGACCTATGGTACAAATGCCAACAGCAGACAATTTCTTCTTAACGCTGCCTTAATATGAATGAAGTCCACAATCCAAATTCAAATTTTGTCAATTATTCCAAGAAAGTCCTTTAAATCTGTTTTATATAGACCCTGGCTTTATCCACTGGGGTAGCCTAGAGATGATGGCTTTGAACACCAAGAGGTTGGTGTCTAAATACCATTCTCTACTGAAAGGAACCAGAAAAGTTGGTGCTGGGGCAGGGGCAGGGAAAACTCAAAAGGAGTCTGCAACTATTGGCACACGGATTGCTGCCTGCTGTCTGCAAAGACCCATTGTATCTCCTGCATCTGGTCCGCACTCCCAGCAGGGCCTTTTCAAAGGACCTCGCTGCCCCAGTGTGACGCACCTCTTCCGCCCCTCTACCTACAGGACTGTGCTCCTCTCCTCCATCAAATCAGCAGCGTGGCTGTCCCCAAGCCTTGCCAGGGCCCCTCGCCCTCCTCTAGAGACGCATTTCTCCCCCCTCCTCTCTATCCTCCGCATGCCACAAGGCTGGCTTCCTCCAGCCAGCCTTCCCTTCAGAATTCTTCCATCTGGTTCTGAACTCACCCACACTGACCATGCACTCCGCAAACTAGAAACGGTTATTATCTGTGCCCTGAATATGTGCTTTTGTAGCTGTGTGATTTCCCTCCTCCAAACGAAAGCAGCAACTGAGAGCTTAGTTTTAGCTTGTTAACCTGTCTAAATCATGACAAAGAATGGAGCGGGTTCGGGCAGAGAGATGGCCGATTCCATCAGGAGGGTGCAGGGTTTGAAAGGCTGGTAAGAGAAAGAAGGAGTGATGTGATCAGGTGGTTGACTGTGTCTGCTCTTGCTTGGTGAGGAGAGAGACTGGCAATTTGAATCTCTCCACTGAAACTAAAAATATACAATATTCTTCAAACCACTTAATCCACTTCTATTTATGCATGGTCCTATGCAACGGTATTCACATTAGCCCTGTTACAATAGCAAAAAATAGAAATAAACTAAATACCTTTCAACAGAGAAATCGCTCTTTAAAAAAAGCACTGTGCATCTTTTGGAATATTATACAGTCATTTTTAAAATGAGCCAGCTTTATATACACTGACCCAGAAGGATCTGTCGGCTGTATTAGCTGAATTTTTTAGAGTTATGGAATTTTACCTTCGTCAAGATCCAACATGAAGCCGATCATGAGCCTCTGTGTGAACACAGCTGGCAAAGAATGTGTGCAGCCCGGCCTGGGAGAAAACAGACCATGCTCTCCAGGATCCCCCAGGACAGAGTGGGATTCAGGGAGTGGAGAAAAGGGGGCACTTTTGCTTGAAATGCACATATCCTTCCATTTTTATTATGACTGGGGACTCATACGTCATTTGCTCAGTGGAATATGAAGGGCAATGTGGCAACCCTGTGTTTGGGGAGAGATGTGAGGCTAACAAAGCCTTTGTGAGATTGCCTCCATCAGACATAGCAGAAGCTGAGCACCCCCCACTCCCACCACCAGAGAATGGAAAGAAGAAATTAACAAGGGGCTGAGAGCATGCTGTGGACCTGCTCCCACATAGGCACAGGCACAGGTACATTCTCACTTAGATTAGTAAGAAAGAGTCTGAGTGAAGGCATCGGTGCTGCTTCTGAAAGGAACCATTAGAGAAACCCATCCTTTGGGTTGGCAGTGCCAAAAGGCATCGCATAGCACAGAGATGGGAACTCGGGGCTTAGAGGGTCACAGTCTTTGTTACAGCAACATGAACAGAATGCTCTGGAATCTGGTGGGAAAGAAGATCTTTGTGAACCCGAGGTAGTTTATTGTGACAGCCTGGCTGATAAACACAAGTGAGATTAACTGAAGGCCGGAGAGATAAATGGCTCGGTGAGCCTCACCTTTCTTGTCTCTCGCTCTTTGATCATCGGACCAGTGTGAGGCTGCCTTGCTTGTTCTGTGCCTCAATTTACAGGCTACACTGTCTGTGGGGCGCCTAGCCTGTGAACTGTGTCGCTGTAAATTGAGGTCCCTTTTAGACATCTCTGGAGCTGGGGACTGGCAGTTGGTGACCTGCCTGACAGTGGGTGACCTGCCTGACAGTGGGTGACCTGCCTCGTGATTGGCTGCTGTGCTGAGATAGCCTAGCTTTCTCTATATATAGAGGAAAACCTGGCAAGCAGACTAGACTTGAAGGACTGCTAGTGTCTCACAACTCTCTCTCACAGGAGGAGATGCACTGAGCCATTTGTACTGCTTTATAATTTAACTGTTCATTTCTGGTATTACATATCTATCTGTATATAATTTAACAGTTCATTTCTTGTGTTATATATCTAAGTATCTTTATAAATAAATATATTAAATTATCAGCAATTTGGTTTTATCTCTCTAGAGAACCCTGTCTAACACAGAACCACATTCAGAAAAGGGAGTTCATTCATGGAAAGGATGGAAGGGTTTGGTCATTCCTGAGTGTGAATTGAAGGTGGGCTGTAGTCCACCTTGGCGTCTCTTTCCCTCCACCTGCCCTTAACTGCAGTGCGCACGCTGGGGTGTCAGTGCCAGACAGCGTGGCTCATCCATCGTGCCCTATCCTTCTCTCCCAGGAAAGAACACTGCCGACTGGGCTAAGGACTTGAGCGTGGAAGACTTCCAGTTGCTGTGCCGGGATGGCTCCCGGAAGGAGGTGAAGGATGCTGCCACCTGCCACCTGGCCCAAGTCCCAAATCATGGTGTGGTCGCACGGAAAGAGAAGGCAGATTGTGTCCGCCAGGTGCTGCTCAACCAACAGGTATGGACCAACCAGAGGCTCCCTAATGAACCTGGGTGCTGTAGGGGAGTTCACAGGTGAATCCACTACCAGACCCCAGCGTTCTCTTTCTGGAAGCTGGAATTAAGGGGCCATGGACTCCCCGCAGAGAGCTGGATTGGAGTCTCCGCTCTGTGGCTTCCTCAGCTGTGCCATCGCAGGCGCCTTCTGATCCTCTCGCCGCCTGCTCCCGCTCATCTATGAGATGGGAAGAGTGCTAGTTCTACCTACCTCTCCCTGATTGTGAGCATTAAATGAAATAATGCCCCCAAATAGCCTAGGAAACTGTCTGGTGTACAGGAAGTGCTCAGTACCTGTCAATTACCCTTGTTTCCCTGTCCTGCGCACTAAAGGAAAGCGGCCCAGCCAGCTAAGAAGAGGAAGGCCCTCAATGAGATGGGTGGACACAGTGGCTGCAACGATGGGCTCGCCCTTGAGAGCCACTGTGAGGATGGCCTCGGGCCTGCGCAGTGTTTTGCTCTGCTGTACATCCGTTGCTATGAGTCAGAGCCAACTAGAGGGCACTCAACACAACATCTTGCTTAGGCACACCCACAGCATCCCTCTAATAAGAGCATTGGCCGTCTGTGGGGGGGGTGGGGTGTCGTGGTGGGAGGGAGGATGTCGCAGAACACCCACCCCAGTTCCTGTCTTGTGGTGGCTTGTCTGAATATTCTAATCTTGAAGACCTTCTCTCAGGGACAGCTCATTGACAGGTGACGAGGTTCAGTTTTGTTTTTTTAATGAAGATAGCATGTATTTAAGTTTCCTTAGGCATCTGAAGGTTTCCCCATAAGCAACGCCCAAAAGATATGGCCAGTGAAATGGGGACGCAATCGCAAAGAAGTCAGGGATGGGGGAAGGACAACTCCCAGCGGAGGGTAGAGCTAGCATGCACCCTGCAGAGGGGGTTGCCCTACAGGAAACCCTGGAGCTGGACCCCACTGGGGGAATGCCAGGGGCTGGATGCAGAAGACCTTCAGGCTCACCCTATCCTCTTTCCTTTTTCCCCTGGGGCTGCCTCAGCAGAGCTTCCGCTGCCCCCCAATCCCCCCCACCCCATGTTCTCTGCCGCTTACTTGCTCGCTGCCACCGCTCCTCACGCAGCTTCTTTTCATTTCACAGACCCAGTTTGGAAGACAGGGCTCACAGTGCACTACGGGCAAGTTTTGTTTGTTCAAGTCGGAGTCCCATGACCTGCTGTTCAGGGATGACACACAATGTTTGGCTAACCTTCCAGAGAAAACTACCTACCAGCAATACTTAGGACAAGCATACATAACCGCTGTTGGTAATGTGGCCCATTGCTCCACCTCAAGTAAGTCGGAGGAACTCCATGGCTCCAGGGTGGTGGGTACACAATCGGGAGGGGACAGATGAAAGGGTGAGGGAAATATGTCTTCCCAGCATGTCATGAAAGCCAGCTTTGATGAGCAGATAGTACAGGAGATTCAGGCGCAAGGTTCTAGGATAGGGAACTTTCTGGACAAGCAGAATTCTATTGTATGACGAAGGAAATGGTTTAAGGTTTCTGCAGCTGTGTTGCCCAACATGGTCGTCACTAGCCACCGTGGCTCCGTGCTGGTCAGCAGAGAAAGCATTTCCACCATTGCAGGAACTTCTCGTAGCCAGCGCTGCTCTAGAGAGCTTGAGCCATGCCAAGTGTGTCTACCAAAAGCTACCGTCCATGGAGAAGGCCAGTTTTCCTAAGAGGCAAAGCACAAGCAAAGCTACCTGAGCACCAGCACTACTCGGCACTGAATGTAGCCGCAAACAATCGTTTGGGGATGCGGCCGAACAGTGTGGTTGTAGGACAGTCTGTCTTCTGTGCTAGTGTGCATCTTACAATAGTGATTCCCAGGCCCTGGCCGTGGAGACAGTGACTCGGCGCCCGGGGCAGGCTATCCCTTTCTGACAGCTCCTCACAGAACTGTGATCTAAGGGACAAGCCTGCCAGGGCCCCTGTGGCGAGCACTCAGGTTAGAATCACGCACCTGTAACCTCCATGAGGGGAGGAAGTCTGCTCCATCCACCAGCCCTAACACAGAAACTGGAACGTTCTAGAAGCCTAGTGCATCTTGCTGTGGTAGTTCCTTGCCTGCTAAAGAGGAGTAGGCTAGCCGAGGTCAGAGGGCATAGCCCCCTAGGCTGCATCTAGCCACAGGAATCCAGGTGTGCAAGCCACCAATAAGAAACAAGGCAGGGAGGAGGTGAAGCGCAGAGAAATGATGCCATCCTCCCTGGGATGGGCTCCCTGGCGTTGGTGCTGGCGCTGTACAGGCTAGTGGAGGAACCGTACAAGCAGTATCAGATTGGGCCAGCCGCCCGTTAGAGAGCGGAAGATGAGGGTAACTCATCTGAATGCTTTCATAGCACGCCTAACTGTCCATTCGCTGAACGGTGAGCAGATGCAGGTTCAAATATCAATGCCCTACCTCTTTGCTTCCACAGAACTCCTGGAAGCCTGCACTTTCCACAGAAGTTAAAACCCAAGAGGCGGGACCATCACCCACACAGAGACAGAGCTTCGCCAACCTGCGGGCGTGGTCCCTGCCGCCTGCCCCGCCCTCCCTTGGTCCTGCGCCCTCTCTGACTAGTCTGAGCTAATCACATCTGCCCTTCCACCTCTCTGTGGCCACCTGTGCAGGACTTGAAATAAAAACGATCTTTGAAAAGCTTCGGTCTTTCTGAAGGATTGATTTTAGCCTACTGGACTAGATACCTATTCAACTGGGCCCATCTGACACTTCAGAGCTCACGAGCTCTCCCCTGCAGCCAGGCACACCCACAGCCACAGCTCCTGGGAAGAATGCCATAGGAAAGTTTTCTGAGAGGGGTCGGCGTGGTCGCTATAACAGAGTCACGTGTAAACAAAGTCAAGTGTGTGTGGCCGTGCATGCATGTATGTGTGCGTGTATGTGTGTGTTGTGTGTGTGGAACTTCAGCAGGAAGGAGAGAAGATGTGGGGTGAGAGCAGAGATTAAAGCTCAAGTGAGTTCAGAAAAAGAACATAAAAGGATCGGTATTATTTTAATATTTTGAATGAATTGTATCAAGGACAACAGAAGTATTGATTCTAAACCAGTTGAAATATGTAAATCACCTTCTTGCTTAAAATTTTTAAAAGCATTTTATTGTCATATAATTCTCAAACCATACCATTCAATAGTTCAATCATCTACTAACTTAAAAATGTTAACCCTCGACTGCCACAGTAGCTACCCTGATGGCCTTAAGTCCACGGCCTGCAGAAGTGCAGGCTAATGCTGACCCTGCCCGCCCGCACCTGCCCTGTACCCCTGCCACTCACCTGGCTCCTCATCCAACTACATCCCTAGGTGAACAATAACACCAGGTAGGGGCCCTCCTTAGAACGATCAACCATTCTAGAACAAAAGGGCAGCAGGTGCCCAAGGACAACGTTCAGGAGACGGATGTGCTAGGGATAAAGGAGCAACAGAAGCAGGAAACACAGGGAGGGATTCGAACCAACGACATGGAGCAAAGTGTATTTGAAACCTGAGAAAGGATTCCTATGATTAGTGTCCCCAGACTTGAGCTATATTCCATTGTGCATTTGAGCTTTGGGGAGCAGGAAGAGCGAGGAAAATGTGTCTGATGAATGAGACACGGTTTCCTCTAGAAAAGGAGAAAAGTTGACTACCCATCTCTGATTTGAATCAAGCAGAACACATTTAAGCAGACAGTAGCCTGGACCTCTGAGTCCTTCCTCCGCATCCAACCCCACTGATCTCCCAGAAGCCTGCAGTCACAGGAAGCGGTGATGGTGGAGGGCCTGAGGCGGCTCATGCCCTGCCCTAGCGGCTCACTCTGGGGACTGGGGGAGCTACCTTTTCGCTTGAGTCTGGACACTGCAGATGTCTTCTGCCTGCATAATCCCCTGAACACAAATCAGAAGAAGATAGGACTTTGTCTTCTAAAGTCTATCTTTAGTTTTTCCCAAAGTATACCATTCCAGTAGCACCAACGCATGTGACTCTACAAGATGGACTGGCACAGCCGCTCCAGCAGAACAACAGTTGTGAGGATGGCGCAGGACCGGGCAGTGGCTCCTTCTCTTGTGCACGATGAGCCAGAGCCGACTCCATGGCACCTAAAAACAATTTGTGCACAAAATTCCTACACAGTTGAGGCCGTTATGGGCAGGGTTTCCTATGTCTGGTTCTTCTTCTTTCCCTGAATGTATGGGTTTCCACAGCCAAGTCTACTAGTAGAATGCATGCAAGCAGTGATTTTTCTGAAGAAGAGGCAGTGGTCATTGTCAATGACCAGCGTGTGTATGTGTGTGTCTACGTGTGCGTGTTGGGTGATGGATGCAGGGCAGGAACCAGGACCATAGAAAGAAAAGAAATCGAGTGTGGGCAGACTCCTGCCAGACCTGATCATTGTAATTGAAAGTACAATGAAAAACAAAGCCATCCATTTGCTGACTGGTTCCCCACAACCTGAAAGCCTTCTTTGATCTGGGGTCCCTACTGCCTACCTTTTTCAACCAGAGGTCTTGCAAATGACTTCTACTATCTTCAAGTATGAGGTGGGACTGCCTGGGATCACATCCCAACTCCGCCCCTTACTGGACAAGTTGCTTAGCCTCTGCCTCAGTTTCCCTAGCTGAAAAATGGGGAAAATGGGTCATTGTCAGACTTACTGCTTGAAAAGAAGGTAGAGGAGTGCCTGACTCTAGCGAGCACTCATGTCCCCTTCTCTTCCCGGCCCGCCATTCTGCGACTTCCACTCCCGGCTCCGCCGCCCACCCCACTTAGATCACTCTCCTTGGAGTCTCAAGGAGCCTCCCTGCGACAAGGGATGCGGCTGACCACTCTCCAGGCCTGCTCTCAGGCTGCCTTCACGGGCTTCTTTGTGACTTCCTCTTCCCTTCCTCTTCTTTCTCTCCATGAGTTTCACGACCACTTGTTCCTGAGTGCCTCCCAGAGGGAAACCCCGCGGCTGGTGGCTGGCACTTTACATGTGTTTCCTGTATCCCCTGCAGGATATAAGCTTTGCGGTTTCCCAGACCTGCCTGAAACATGTACAAAAGAGAGGTCATCTTCTTGCCAGCTGTACCCTCAGCCCTAACCCCTCCAGTTGAGTTCCCTGCTCACATAAGGCACAGCCACCTGCCTCGTCATCAGCATCACCACCCACCTTATCTCATACACGCTCAAGTCCTAAGATTGAATTAACTACCCGATGCCACACTGTACACCTTCGAAGCGTCTCCGAAATCTGTACCCTCTCTGCCACATCGACCTCTGTCCCTGCTTCCGACCTTGAACCCCTTTCGTCGGAACACTGCAACAGCCTCTGCCGGTTTTTCTGCCTCGCCGTCTTTTCTCTGAACATGCTGGCAATTATCAATGTCACCCCTCAACTTGCAACTCCTCCTGTGATCCAGATGCAGTCCAGCACCCAAAGTCCCTTCAGGCCTGGTTCCCGTCTCTTGTCACTTCCCACCACCTGCTGAATGACAGAGACTGCAAACAGAGTCCCCAGCCTGGCTGCATTCTGCCCACAAAGCTATGTTATTTGGGTCACAAGCATTTACAGGTCTTCAATTAATTGTCGGATGATAAAAACAGAGTATTTTCCGCAAACGCCTGCCTTTCTGGTAACTGTTGAAAAACTGAAATTCACTGGCTATCCGTCTGCCACATGCTTGTTTGCAGAGCGGTGGCTGCCCACTTCGTCCTGATTACCTCTCAGCTCAACTCACCAACAGCGAGTCAAATAGGACCCAGAGAGAACCGTGGAAGACAGGACGGCACGGCCCTCTGGATGTCTGAGGCTATCGGTGTCCACAGGATCAGAAAGGTTCATCTCTCTGCTGGCCTTGCCCAGTGTATAACCCACCGCTTCATCAGGGCTCCTGGGCTTCCCTTATCTAGTGCTGCCACACAGATACACCACGCAGGGGGCTTAACAAACACAAACGTGTTCTTTGACAGTTTAGGAGGCCCGATGTGTCAGGTCTAGGGGAGGCTTTCTCTCTCTGTGGGCTCCTTTCAGCATCCCTGAGCAGGGCTTTCTTGGGGATCCCCTGGGTCTTGGCATCCGTCTCCCCTGGGCCTAGGACTTTCTCAGTGCAGGGGCAGCAAGCCCCAAGGGGGCACTTTACTTTCTGCTTTTCCTCCCAAGCGGTGGTCGGTCCCTTTCTCTTTGCTCCCTCCACTCGCATTTTGTCTCTTGTCAGATAAAATAGGCTGTAAGTCACAGCCCTGCAAAACTCTCCTTACATTGGATCAGGGCTGTGCCGAGGTGAAGGGTGTTGCTGTCCACTTTTAATCCTTTTAGGGGCTTGTCAGATCTGATCATCATGTAAGTCACCCATTACATCATCTAAAAAGACTCCCCAGCTTTGTCTCCCCCAAAGAGATGCCAAACATGAGAGGCTGTTTGCCAGCACATGGTGGGAGGTCAGATGCATTCAGGCTTCAGACTACTGTCTAATCCCATCACAGGTGGAGCCCACTCCCTGCTGTTAACGGCAGTGGATTGCTTCTCACTGAAGGCTTTCAGCCATCAGTCTGGTCCACTGCAGGTGGGGTTCACACCCTACTGATAATGGTTTCTATGGAGAGCCAGAGAACAGGTTAAACCTGCTCAGTGACATCCAAAACTAGGCTGCCTCCCTGAATCTAGGATCCGCCCATCTTGTCACATGTGTACCCCAATTCCCCCCACCTTCCTTTTGTGTGTATACCCCTAGATCAGGGGTCCTCAAACTACAGCCCGCGGGCCACATGCGGCCGGCTGAGGATATTTATCCCACCTGCTGGGTGTTTTTGTCTTGTTTGTTTTTTCACTTCAAAATAAAATATGTGCAGTGTGCATAAGAATTTGTTCATAGTTTTTTTTTAAAACTATAGTCTGGCCCTCCAACGAGTCTGAGGGACATTGAACTGGCCCCCTGTTTAAAAAGTTTGAGGACCCCTGCCCTAGATCATCCCCCTCTCTTCACTGTATTGCACAATCCCTTCCTGTGATGTATGTCCTTTCCTGTAATTAGGGGGCTTGCACACTCCCAAAAGATATATAAGCCTCGGTTAGTAATAAACTGCTCTTGCTTGCTCCTGCAATTCCCACCTTCTACATCCTGACGTGGACCACCAAGCAGGGCTTGAGGTGAGCATGCTACCATGAAATGTGTCTGACTCCATTATTTAAATCGCTTTTCTATCTCTTATTCTCTATGACTTTACTATAATCTTTACTTATTATCACTGTACAATTGAACTACTTACTGGACCTGTGATGATTTGTTAGGGGCAGGCTCTCTTGACACCCAATCACTGAAAATCACTGCTTAACCAAATCAACACATATTCTGGGGGACTTAATTCAATCTATGACATGACTGGTGATTTCCATTTTCAACATTTCCCATCTATCCCGTGGGTTAATGGGTTAACCGTTCATGCTGACATGTGAGTCTGCAGGTCTAATTTTCGTATTGTATGGCTGGATCAATGTCAGGCCGGCTTCTAGCAGCAAGTGACCTTGAATCTCCCCCACCTGTTTGGAGCTGACCAGAGCTGGATGAAACAACTAGCAGCGAGTGACCTTGAATCTCCCACACACATCTGTGGAGCTGACTAGAGCTGGCTAATGTAAAGCAGCTTTGCAGGATTTTTTCATTCTTTTACTCATGGCCCGTTTTGCTCACTGCCCAGTTGGCTCAGTGCATGCTTTGTTCTCTGCCCACTGCCCTGCACCCAGCATGAATATACCGGAACCAGGAAGACACCTTACATTTTAGAAACCCGGACATACCTGTATCTCCCAATCCCTGACCACTTTACCTTATATGGACTCAAGGCAGCCCGGTCACATGTTCCCTGGCTATATAAACACCACTCCTGTAATCTGGAGTGCAATTCCCTCGGCCTGGACACTGTGGACCGTGGGACTTCGCCCAGGCTGGGTTTTTCTCCCCAATAAAGCCTGTTTGCTCTAATTCGACTGATTTGGTCTCTGGTGCCTCTTGACTACCTTACACCTAGGTGGTGTTGCTGGGTACCACGGAGTCAGTTCCCACTCACAGTAGCCCTCTGCACAGCAGAAGCCAACACAGCACGGTCCTGCGCGTCCTTATGATTGTTCCGATGGTCGCCCTCCTTGGTACAACCTCTGGGTCAATCCATTGCTTTTTCACTGCCTCTCCCCTTTACCATCGATGATGTCCTTTCCGGGCATAGGTCTCTCCTCACCATATGTCCCAAGGATGTAAGATGAAGTCTTGCTATCCTTGTCTCTAAGGGGCATTCTGTCCTTACTTCTTCTAAAATAGATCTGTTTGTCCTTTGAGCAGTCCATGGTACTGTCGCTGTTCTTCACCAGCACCACAATTCAGTGCCATGCCTTTTTCTTCAGTCATCCTTACTATATGCCCAGCTCTCACAACTAGATAGGGTGACTGAAAACACCAAGGCTTGGGTCAGGCACCCCTTTGTCCTCAAAGTAACACCCTTGCTTTTCAAAACTCTAAAGAGGTCTCATGCAGCAGATTTACCTAATGCAATGTGTCTTTTGATCTCTCGACCACTGCTTCTGGGAGCATTGATTGGAACCCGAGCAAGACAAAATCCTTGACAACGCCAACCTTTTCCTCATTTATCATGATGTTGCCTATTGACCCAGGTGTGAGGATTTTAGTCGTAATCCACACTGAAGGTGACACTCCTTGTTCATGACATCACCAGCAAATGGTTCCAGTCCTCCTCATTTGGGGGCGACAAGGTTGTGTCACCTGCATAACGCAGGTTGTCGATAAGCCTTCCTCCAATCCTTTCTAGAGATAGGGAATTGCTGTGATTTCCGTATGCGGAGCATTATCCTTCCTCACAGGACACGTGTACTTCTTTTACTGCCTCTAGAGACGAACCCTTTCTTCAGCAGTTCCATTCGCTCTCCTCCACGACGCACTTGGTGTCCTCTTCTGTGTTCCCATCTCATGCTATTCATCTTCTGCTCCATCCCTTGCCACCAAACGCACTGGAAATCTTCTGTGAGGAGACCGTGAACCACTCATTCCATTCATTCATTCCGTTGCTCTTCTAGCCCTCGTGAAGAAAACCTCTTTGCCAATTCCTGATTTTAAAAGTCAATACAGGGTGCTAGGGAGGGAAAGGGGATTTCAGGAATAAAAATGAAGGTGGGAGGTGGGAAGCCCTAGAACTGATTGTGATTGCACAACTCATTTTAAAGGCGATGTAGTCATGGGGGGAGGCATTCTAAAATTGATGTTGTAATTGTACAATTCTCCTTGACATGATTGAACGATTTAATGGTATGATATGTAAATTATGTGACAAAACTGTTTTAAAAAAGGATAAGGATAATGCAGAGGGTAGCTAACACAGGTATAACATGTGACCTGAGTGACTCTTGAAGGGGAACACACTGGGCACTTTTTTAAAACCACGCTGTCGAGGAGATGAGCCAGTCACGGTGCGATGTAACAATGATGAGAAATACAACCTTCCTCTAGTTCCTAAAGGTTTCCTCCCCGCTCCCACTACCATGACTCGAATTCTATCTTGCAAGACTGGCTAGACCAGAGGAGGTACACTGGTACAGATAGGAACTGAAAATACAGGGAATCCAGGACGGATGAGCCCTATAGGACCAGTGGTGTGAGTGGCAAAACAGGGAGGGTAAAGGGAGAATGGGTAGGAAAGAGGGAACCGATTACATGGAAGTGTGTGTGACCTCTTCCCTGGGGGACAGACAACCAAAAAGTGGATGAAGGGAGACGTCGGACAGGGCAAGATATGACAAAATACCCATTTATAAACTATCAAGGGCTCATGCGGGAGGGGGGAGCGGGGAGGGAGGGGAAAAATGAGGACCTAATGTCGGGGGTTTAAATGGAGAGAAAATGTGTTGAGAAACGATGTACAAATGCGCATTACACAATTGATGTGTGTATGGATTGTGATAAGAGTTGTATGAGCCCCTAATAAAATGTTTAAAAAAAAAATAAAACCACGCTGTTTCCACATTAAGTTTCCAAAGATCAAGGCAAGAAAGTCCTGGTGGCCCTGGAATCTCTCTCCGGTTTCTAACTGCAAGATGGGTGGTTCAAACCCAGCAGCTGCTCCACCAAGGACGGTGAAGCTATCTGCTCTGGTGAAAATGTACAGCCTCGGAAACTCTTCGTACGATCTCTCTAAGTCAAAATCGAGTTGATGGCAGCAGGTGGTCATGACAGACTTTGTGATCTTGTTCTGCTGATAGAGTAGAAACTGGGGGCGTGGGGGGGTGGAAATTACTTGAAGCACATCACAGCCCCATTTTCATCAGTGAATGCAAGGGAGGTGCAATTGTCATTTTCATGGAGTGACATAATGTGTGAAGTAAAAGATCTATGCACTTGACTTGTACTGGGGGCTGATATCCTGGCAGTTATTTAAAAGATGAGATCAGATAGTTGGACAGGGGCACAATTTCAGTGCTCACCAGGGACACCAGATATGCCTCTGGATGTCTGTGTTCCTTGTTAAATATCTGTTCCTGTCTCCTCCTTCGAAAGAAGCATGGTGTAACTGAGAACTATAACTTCCAGTGGGTCCTTGGAAATCCCCCAGGCCCAAAGGAGGAGAAGCAAACCGCATAAGAACGTGCTGACGTTTTTTGTTGTTAGGTGCCAGGGAGTCTGTACCAACCATAGGGACCCTGTGCGCAACAGACGGAAACACTGTCCACTCTCTCCCATCCTCACAACTGTCCCATTGTTGCAGCCACTGTGTCCATCCATCTCCTAGTGGGTCTTCCTCTTTCTTCCTGCCCCCTTTACTTTACCAGGATGATGTCCCTCCCCAGCGACTGGTCTCTCCTGACAGCGTGTCTAAGTACATATGAGGAAGCCCCTTCATCCCTGCCTCTAAGGAGCACTCTGATTGCTCTTCCCAAACAGATTGATTTGTCTTGTTAGCAGTCCACAATTCCAACGTAACAATTCGGTCTTCCTTACTCAAATGCCTAACTTTCACACGCATATGAGACCATTGAAAATATCATGGCTTGGGTCGGGCGCACCTTAAGTTCCCAAAGTAATATCTTTGCTTTTCAATACAAGCAAAGACCTAAAGAGGTCTTGTGCAGCAGATTTACCTAATGCAATGCGTCTTTTGATCTCTTGCCTGCTGCCTCCGTGAGCATTAATTGTGCGCCCACGCAAGACAGAAAACCTTGACAACTTCAATCTTTTCTCCATTTATCATGATGTTACCTATTGATGCCGTTGCGGTCTTCTTTACATTGAGTTGTAAACCGTATTGGAAGCTACAATCTTTGGTCTTCATCAGTAAGCGCTGCGAGTACTTCTACCCACTCCCCCAGCCCCACCCGTTGCAGCGAGCCCTGTTGGGTCATCTGCATATCGCCGGTTGTTAATGAGCCTTCCTCCAATCCTGATGCCGCATTCTTAAGAACTACAACTCCCGAAAGACCCTGCTTCCTGCGCTTGCGCAGAAGGCAGGGAGGGCTCTGCGCCACGTCGCTCTAAGGCGACGGAGAGCACACTCTGCGGACCGAGACTCCGATGCTCATGGCTTCCGCCGGCCCGCAGCGGGTTCGGGAGGGCGGCGGTGCGGGGGGCGCTTTCCAGCCCTACCTGGACTCCTTGCGCCAGGAGCTGCAGGGGACAGACCCGACGCTGCTGTCCGTAGGGCTGGCGCTTGTCGTGGTCCTGCTGACGCTGGGTAAGGGGCCGGGCGGCGAGGGCAGGTGTGGGGTGGTCGCGGGCCGCACTCGGGCCGCCGGGGTTGGCCTGGGAGGGAGGGGAACCCCCTACGGGGGTCCCCGATCACACCGTCAGCTGTCGTGGTGCCGACGGTCGTCCGAGTGCCCTCCTGGAGATTGGGGCGTTTGGGGGAGACCGTGTTAGTTCCCCGCTCCAGCCGCACGCGCGGCCTCCGGAGGATCGGGCCGTCATGGCGGCGGGGGGTCCCCTGTGCGCCCGCAGTGTTATGGAAGCTGATCCGGAGCCGAAGGAGCAGTCAGAGAGCCGTGCTCCTCGTTGGCCTCTGTGACTCGGGGAAAACGTTGCTCTTTGTCAGGGTAAGTGTTGATTTAAACTTTAAAACGAACGTTGTATGCGCACGTCTTAAATGTTACAGGAATCTGGGGGCATCCCAGGGTTTCTAGGAACTCAGGCTAAATAAGACATTGATGCCAGCCAAGAAGAGAGTTAATTCTGGACACACGTGGGAGGATAAAAAGACGCTTGGGAAAATCTGTCAGCTGGACTTTGTCGGTCACGGCTATGTTTTCCACACTTGTCGGATGCAAACCTTCAGTCCTTATTATATGTAAGGCTTTTCAGTAGTTCCATCCTGTGGCTAACGATTCCGAACAGCTGAAGAAACAACAGCCAGGGACCCGTTCATAGTTTATGATTATGTGTGTAGCAAACGCCTCCGGAAGCTTGTAAAGGAAAAAACAAAGGGGGTGGTGGTGGTGGTGTTTTAAAGCAGCGGTTCTTAACTGTAGGTTGAGGCCCTTTCACAGGGGTCGCCTAATACAACCTGCATATCAGATATTCATTTACATTACGATTCATAGCAGCAGCAAATGTGCTGTTATGAAGTAGCAATGAAAATAATTTTATGGCTGGGGGTCACCACAGCATGAGGAACTGTATGAAAGGGTCGAGGCATTAGAAAGGTTGAGAACCACTGGAGAGTTTTTACGTTAACATTTGAGCAGTCTTTTCACTAATGTGTATTTTTATTTTTTTGAGAGCTTAAATTTCCTCCCAGGAAAACAATGTCTAATCATTCCCTCCCTCCCAATTTTTGATGGGTAAACATGTTTAAGGAAGGCCCATAGATTTGGCCACTAACTGTAGCTTAAAATTTGTGCATTATTTCCCCCCTCATTGTGAGAGAGGAAAATGAAAATTTGCAATTAATTAGATTGCAGTTTTTAGAAAAACCCACCAAACCAATATGGCCCTTTTATTCATTTATTTGATTCTAGACCTGGGAGAGCTAGAGCAATAGGTTTGATGATAATGTATTTACTCTGATCTCTTATCTCAATTTTTTACAGTTGTTAACCGGCCTTTACAGAGATACTCAGACATCCATCACTTACAGCTCTGCTGTCTACAGAGTCAACAATAACAGGGTAAAGGGGGATGGTGGTGGTGGTTGGGGTGTTTATAATCTTGACAGTGTTACTTTACTGTGGCCAGGAAGTATGTCCCCGAGATGAATGAACCTGAGGATGCTGGTACCATTTGTAACTTGTTTTGATGGAGAAGTGTAGTCTAGGTACAAACATGTGCTACAGATTTAAGGAGGCATACCTCCACTATGTCACACCGTACAAGCTGATGCTATATTAGCTTTTATTCTTTTTTATTGCTATGCCTTTCCAGCTTTACCCTGAGTTTTTAAGGGTGGGCATTAAGCTTTTGCTTCTTGTTTTAAATGAAGTAATGCATGGACCTGGAGCACAAACTCAGAGGTTCAAAGGTGAAAAGTCATTTTGCCTTCAGGCTCCCCTTTTAGAAGCAGTAACTGTTGCCATTTTTGTGTGTATCCTCTTGATATTCTAGGCCTGTACAAACATAGATGTAGCTATTTCCTTTCATTTTTTTTTAAACACTGCTCTGCCCCTCTTTTAGATTTTATTTAACAACATAGGAGTTACAAATTGGGGTTTTCCTCACATGGGTACTAGCTGCCTAGTCCTATACAATTTTTACTTAATCAGAGCCCAAATAGTAGCCATTTAATATAGTTTCGTTTGTTGTTATTCTTGTGCTTTTCAAACGGTGCTGAATTTCATATCTTCAAGAGTATATATGACTGTATTTCAGAAATACAAAGAGTCATGGACGTTTTCTGTGCATATCTGGCTCTAGAATGTAGACGGCATCTGCCAAGCTGTTAATACTATTGAATAAATAGTTGGCTCATGAGGGCTGCGTGGATGGCTAAGTGGATGGGTTAAAATGATATTCCTGACCATCCCTCTTTGCCTTGGGTGCCCCTGCCCCCTCCCTAGGACCTCCAGAATGAAACACTGTGAGCAAAGCTAAAGGGACCGCCTTTGAAATGTCGTTGAGGAGACGTTTGCCTCCTCCAGCGATGGCAATCTCTGGCCTAGTCCTGTTTGTAAACGCCACCGGAGTTTGACTTTGAAATTTCAAGTCAGGAGATGACTAATTCAGGGGTACTGGTGTCTCGAGTTGTTAATGGGTTTTTCCAGAGTGCATGTTAGACCCATGCTTTTCAGTACAGGAGCTGCTAGGCCCATGGGGGTACTGAGTACCCGAAGTATGGCTGGGCTGAAATGTGCTGTGTAGAATATATGCCAGATCTTGAAGATTTAGGCAGAAAAGAGAATGTAGCATATATTCTTAAAGCCTTATTTTGTTTTTTATTACATGTTGAAATGCTACCATTTCAGCTGTATTGGATGAAATAAATATTTTTTAATATGCCTACTAGAAATTCAATATTACATATGTGGCTGGCACTGTATCTGTTGGACAGTGCTGCTGTGCAGCATTCAGTGGTGACTCTTACCTTCTGTCCTCATGCCTCCCGCCCCCTGGGTTTTAGGCTCAGTCTCTCTCTCGATAGTAGTGCATACTCTGGATTGTTCCTGGGTGTTAGTAGTGCATACTCTGGATTGCTCTTGGGGTGCGGGTTAGTGGTGACTGAAGTGCAGCAGTCGTTCACAGCCCGGGACCCTTGGACACTCACCAGTACATAAAACAAAGAGGCTAATTAGATATTGTTCATTTATGCATAACAGGGCTGCACGGGCTGTGGAAAGGTCATTTTGAATTCAGCTGGGACAGTGTGGCATCTGCATAGGCCGGCTCCTGCTGAGCAGTGGCTCTGCTTGCCTGTGGACAAAGTGGACCATCAGTGGGTCTGACAGATGCCCCAGCGGCACATCTGAGAGTCTTGTGAGCACAGAGGCATCCAAGGAGGGGAAGGCTGGAGATATAGGCCCTCGGGGCTCAGTGGGAGCCAGGGGCTTGTGTCAGAGAGTCACAGCCTCTCTCTGTTTTAGTGATTACAGCCCAGATCAAGAATTGACATAAACGTGTGAAACAAATAGATAGTGTATCTGCTGGATGAGTACTTTAGGATTAAAGGGGGAAATGATCAAAAGGGGTTTTGTTACTCTAGCCCAGGGGTCCTCAAACTTTTTAAACGGGGCCAGTTCACTGTCCCTCAGACCCGTTGGAGGGCCGGACTGTAGTTTTTAAAAAAAACTATGAACAAATTTCTATGCGCACTGCACATATCTTATTTTGAAGTGAAACACCAAATGGGACAAAAACACCCGGTGGGCCGGATAAATGTCCTCGGGCGGACCACGTGTGACCCGCGGGCTGTAGTTTGAGGACGCCCGCTCTAGAAGATGGCCAGGTCAGCTGCTCAGAGGAGGGTGCCGCTGTAGAGTTACAGTCTCAGCAGCACACAAGCAGTTCTCCTCTGTCCTCCAGGGTCCCTGTGAGTCGGCAGGGGATTCTTGCGCTGGGGTCATGCTGTATGACCAGTGTTGGGTTCTGAAATGACACGTGTAGCGTGAGTCCACTTCCTTGGGCTCTGGTGTTTGATCATGCTGATGAGGGGCTGGCACCTTCTAGAGGGCTCACGCTCCCGACTCCTCGAGTCATGGTCAGGTTGCTTCCAGACCCTCAGAACACGTTCAAATGTGTGTGTAATTCTACATGGCAATCATCTCCCTCCTGGTACTAGAAACCCTGCTAAAGCAGGGACCACAGGTGCTCTTGTTCCCGGCCACATGTCTACTCAAGTAATCAAAGATGTCCAGTGAACTTCTGTTTGCGTCCTTAGTTACACACCAGTCTGCTACGTGAAATCTGCTCTGTATGTCATTGTTGTGAACATAGGCCTCACGTCAAACATTAATGTTGTTTTCACCGTCCTCAGGGTAACAGCCTGACCTTGATTGACCTCCCTGGCAACGAGAGATTGCGACTGCAGTTTTTAGAGCGATTTAAGGCTTCAGCCAGGTATGTGGGAGAGGTGAAACGGGTCTGCCTGAAGTCGCTGTGGGGGCACCCTGAGTGAGCACGGGCCTGAGGTGACGGGCTGCTTCGGGTCGTGCGGCCAGGTGTTGGGATGCTTGTTCTTCTCTGACTTGATGAGAGCCACCAAGTTGGTGTGAGGTGGGAGCTCACTGCAGTTTTGATTGCATTTCTTGACCATTTTTCATTTGTCTATGGGTCACTTCTGTGTAATCTTTGGAGTAATATCTACTAAGATCCTTTGCCCGTTTAAAAAAATTGGGTTGTCTCTAGTTATTGAATTCTGAGAATTCTTTATACATGTGACATATAAGTTCTTTGTCAAATATATTTTTTACAAATTAAAAAAAAGGTATTTGCAAAATGTAAACTCTTATTACTGATGTTTTAAAAATTTACATTTGTTCTGAGGAAAAATTTTTTTTTTAATTTTTTTATTAGGGGCTCATACAACTCTTATCCCAATCCATACCTACATCAATTGTGTCAAGCACATTTGTACATTCATTGCCCTCATCATTCTCAAAACATTTCCTCTCCATTTAAGCCCCTAGCATCAGGTCCTCATTTTTCCCCTTCCTCCCCGCTCCCCCCTCCCTCATGAACCCTAGATAATTTACAAATTATTATTTTGTCATAGCTTGCCCTGTCCGATGTCTCCCCTCACCCCCTCTACCGTTGTCCGTCCCCCAGGGAGGAGATCACATGTAGAGCCTTGTAATTGGTTCCCCCTTTCCAACCCACCCTCCACCTACCCTCCGACCACCCTCCCGGTATCGCCACTCTCACCACTGGCCCTGAGGGATCAGCTGCCCTGGATTCCCTGTGTTTCCAGTTCCTGTCTGTACCAGTGTACAGATCCTCTGGTCTAGCCAGATTTGTAAGGTAGGATTGGGATCATGATAGTATGTGTATGGGAGGGAGCATTTAGGAACTAGAGGAAAGTTGTGTGTTTTATCATTGCTACACTGCACCCTGCCTGGCTCTCTGAGGACAAATTTAGTGATGTATATATGCTATTAAAATCTTGAAAAAGAATTTTAAAGTTAAGAGGGATCTTAGAAGTTATTAAAATCCAACGTTATATACAAGTCTATTCTTAAATTACTAAAATCAAAATCTCAAGAGGGTAAGAATAAGATTTTTTTAAATCACTTTATTGGGGACTTTTACAGCTCTTTTAATAATTCATACATCCATTGTGTCAAGCACATTTGTACATATGTTGCCATCATCATTCTCAAAACATTTTCTTTTTACTTGAGCCCTTGGTATCAGCTCCTCTTTTTTTTCCTCCCTCACTCATTGTGTTAGACAGGGTTCTCTAGAGAGATAAAACCAGATTGCTACTCTCTCACTCATGAACCCAAAATAATTTAGCAATTACTATTATTTTCATATTTTACACCGACCACTGTCTCCCTTCACCCACATTTTTGTTGTTCATCCCTGGGGTGGGGGTAGGGGGGAATGTGGTTATATGTCCATCATTGTGATCTGTTCCCCCTTCTCCCCCCACCTTACCCTTACTCTCATGGTATCACTACTCTCATTATTGGTCCTGAGGGCTTTATCTATCCTGGATTCCGTGTGTCGAGCGCTCTTATCCGTACTAGTGTACATGCTCTGGTCTAGTTTGATTTGTAAGGCAGAACTGAGGTCATGATAGTAGGGGGGAGGAAGCATTAAATAACTAGAGGAATGTTGTATGTTTCGTCGGTGCTATACTGTACCCTGGCTGGCTCGTCCCTTCCTTGTGACCCTTCTTTGAGGGGATGTCCAACTGTCTACAGATGGGCTTTGGGTCTCCACTCCACCCCCCAACCCCCTTATTTGCATCAGTATGATTGTTTGTTGTGTTCTGGGTCTTCTGATGAAGAATTAGATTTTTGCATTTCTTTTAATATTCCTTCTCAGTTCTTAAACTTCTTATCTATGGTTTAAGATTTCTTCTTGTTAGCTCTCTTAAAACTGATAAAAACTGAAGGTGAATATTAGTTTGCCACACTTTAAATGGCAGTGCTTCTTATAGTTGATGGTGTCCTAGTTTAATTGGCAGTATTTTTGCTTTGTTAGCGGCACCAGACATAATCCTGTATCTTAGGTAGTGGCATCTTAAGCTTGATGGCATGTATGTCGTTCTTCCCTCTGTGTAGCGGTTAAACACTGGGCTGCTAACTGCAAGGTCAGCCTTTCAAAACCACCCGCTGCTCGGTAGGAGAAAGACAGGCTTTGCACTCCAGTAAAGATTTGCAGAAAAGTTCACAAGAGCCAAATTATGATCTTGAATATATCCCAACTGAAGACTAGATTTGATGCATTAGAGACTCATGACAGAAGACCGGATGAGCTGTGGGATGACATCAAGAACATCTTACGTGAAGAAAGAAAGGGTCATCAGAAAGACAGAAAAGATCAACATCGAAGTCAGATGAGACAGAAACTGGTTCTTCATTGTCGAGTAGCTAAGGCAAATGGAAGATATGGTGAAGTCAGAGTTGAATAGAAAATTTCAAAGGGCAGCTCAAGAGAGCAAGGTAAAATTTATAACGAAATGTGCAAAAAGATAGAGTTAGAAAAACCCAAAAGGAAGAACCTGCTTAGCCTCTCTTAAACTGAAAGAACTCAAGAGAAAATGTAAGCCTCGAATTACAATATTGAAAGATTATGTGGGGAAAATATTGAGTGATCCAGGGCAGGAAGCATCAAAAGAAGGTGGGAAGGATACCCAGACTCGCTGTACCAAGAAGAATTAGTCCATATTCAGCTGTTTCAGGAGGTGGCACATGAGGAAGAACCAACGGTGCTGAGGAAGACGTTCCAGTTGCAGTGAAAGCATCAGCCAAAAGCAAGGCTCCAAGAATTGATGGAATACTAATTGAAATGTTTCAACAGGCTGATAAAAGCGCTGGAAGCAATCACTTAGGCCAAGAGAATTCGAAGGCAGCTACTTTGCTAGCTGACTGGAGGAGATTCATGTTTGTACCCATTCCATAGGAAGGGGACCCACAATGCGCAAATTATCAAGCAATATCATTGACAGCACATGCAAGTAAAATGTTACTGAAGATCATCAAACAGCAGTTGCCACAGGACATTGACATGGAGCTGCCAGAGGTTCACACTGGACTCAGAAGAAGACATGGAACAAGGGATAGCATTGCTGCTATTAGAGGGATCTTGGCTCAAAGCAGAAAATACCAGAACGATGTTTACTTGGGTTTCATTGACTATGCCAAGGCATTCGACTGTGTGGATCCTAAGAAACTCTTGACTAACCTTGAGAAGAATGGGAATTGCAGAGCACTTCATTGTGCTCATGTGGAATCGGTACTTGGATCAAGAGGCATTTGTTCAAACAGTAAAAGGAATACTGCATGGCTTAAAATCAGGAAGGGTGTGCATCAGGGTTGTATCCTCTCACCGTACTTATTCAGTCTGTGTGCTGGGCAAACCATGAGAGAAGCTGCGTGAAGAGGAATGTGGCATCGGGGTTGGAAGAAGGCTTATTAACAGCCTATGATGGGCGGATGACACAGCTTTGCTTGCTGAAAGTGAGGAGGACTTGCACTTGCGTATGGAGATCAAGGATTGCAGCCTTCAGTATGGATTACACCTCAATGTAAAAAGAACCAAAAACATTACATCGAGACCAATATGTTACAATAAGTGGAGAAAAGTTGTCAAAGATTTTATCTTGCTTGGATCCACAAGCAGTAGTTGAGAGATCAAAAGACACATTGCATTAGGTACATTTGCACACGAGCTCTTTAAAGTATTGAAAAGCAAGGAGCCAAAGAGGTTGTT